ATGGAACCAGTGTGCTCATTGCCATCAAAGAGCTCACTGGAAGAAGGAGTGCTCCGAACAGTCAGAGGATTATCACCCAGTCCGGAGATGACAGAGGGGAGGCCAAGTGGTTCAAGGACAGAACCAATAACCCTGGTGACTGTATACATGCCCTGAGGGTGATTCGGTTGGATTGGCCAGCACAGGAAACTATGAGGACGAATAGGACAGACTGGGCTCCATTTTATGTGGCCCCCAGGAGACTATCTATGATCCCAATGACAGTGGGAGCCCGCCCTGGAACTTCATGGCCCACACTGGTGCAGAAAGCTCTGCGGTGCTCCAACCCGTGAGCCCACTCCCGAAGTGACAATCCACTATTGTGGAAGCCACAGTTAGCCAAGCTCGTCATCCTATTCACTGCCTGGATAATGCAATTTAGGTGGCCATGAAGTTATTCACGAATTCCGGTACCTCTATGACTGCCCCATGCCTTTCATGGGTTGAGACCTTTGGAAAAACTGCAGGCACAGAACACTTTCCACTCTCATGGCCAAGCCACCCTGACCCCAGGAAGGACAGCAGCAAAAATCCTCCTCTCACGGTCCCCCAAGCAGAACAGTGGTGCCTCTACAGTCTTGTAGAAAGGCCACAACGGGGACCTGAGCTTCCTTTCAAGGTGTCTGAGATGTGAGCTGAAGATAATCCTCCTGGACCAGCCCAAAACATACTCCCCAAGGTAGTGGAATTAAAGACAAGGGCTGGACCTATCCATCAAAAGCAATATTTCCTTCCTCCCAAGGCACAGATTGGGATCCAGAGGCACCCAGAGAGACTTCTCAAGTGTGGAATCCTCTGGCCCTGACAATCATCCTGAAGCACAACTCTCTTGCCAGTCCACACAATGTCAACTCGGCCAGAGAGAAAAACAGTCCAGTTCAATCATGGTTCTGCAAACCCGGTGCCAGTTCTGGGAGTTCCTTGGGTCTGGAGGTCTCTGTAGAATCTAGATACCTAACTTCTCTATCATGGCAAAACCTCTTTATGAAGCCAGAAAGGTGAAAGATTGAGAATTTCTGTTACAGGAACAAGCTCAAAAGAAGGCCTTTGAGGAAATCAGTGAGATCTCACCAATGCAGCACCCAGCTTGGGAATCCCAGACGTGCCCACGCTTTTCTTCTTGTACATACATGAGCACACTGTCATTGCAGTGGGCGTCCTGACCCAAATGCTGGGGTGATGGCATTGGCCAGTGGCTTACGTCTCCAAGCTCCTTGACTCTGTCACTCAAGATTGGCCACTCTGCCTAGAGCACTTGCAGCCATGGGCCTCTTGGTATCAGAGGCTGACAAACTGACTATGGGACAGGAATCCACAGTCTGGGTGCCACACTGAGTTCTGATATTAATGGAGTATAAAGGACAATCTTGGCTGACTAATGCCTGTATGGCCAGACGTCAGGGAATGCTGTAGGAAAATACACACATCCACCTAGAAGCTGTGTAGACTCAAAACCCCACAACCCTACTCTCTGTCTGGCCAGGTCAACTGGATCATGACAGCAGCAAACTCATGGTTGAGGTATTTTCCAGCCAACTTATGAGACCAGCCTCCCAAAGACCCCAATGCTGAGTACTTCACCGATGGTACCAGTTTTGTGGAAGAAGGAGAACTCCCTGCTGGGTACTCCATGGTGACCCTAAATTCCACCATTGAGGTGAAACCTCTGCCAAAAGGAACCCCATCAGGCTGACCCGAGCCCTTTAACTGGCAGCAGACATATGTGTCAATATATAGACAGACTTGAAATATGCCCTCACTACCCTCCATGTGCATGGAGCATTATATAAAGACAAGGACCTAATCAGAACAGGAGGCTAAAGCATAAAGTAAAACAAAGAAATCCTGGAACTGTTAGATGCCGTATGGGCTCCTGAAAAAGCTGGCAGTCATACAATGTCAGGAACATCATGGGGAAACTCTGTGGTCATTCTGGGACATCATAATGGAAACCAAGAGGCCAAGTTCCTGGCCTCCAAGGAGACCACAGAACAAACCGCCATGACTGCCACCCTATTCCCTAGTGCCTTGGTAGAATGGGAAACCAATCAGTCACAACATGAGAACATCTGGTTTCAAACCAAAGATGGAAGTTACCACCTGGGAAGATGGTGTAGGTTTGAAGATGGCCAAACAGCAATTACCAGGCCCAAGCCCCAGCCTTTGTCAAGCAGTTCCACCAGGAGACCCACATTTGCCAAACAGGTCTGGAGGCCACATTGGTTCGACATCTCCACATTCTCTAGCTCTCCATCATAGCCTGAGCAGTGTTGCAAACAATGTAAAATATTTACCTGGAGTAACCCTGTCAGGGACCAAAGTTCTCCCCTGGGGTGCAACGTGTTGGATGGCCCCCATTTGAAGATATATTTGTGGACCTCATTGAGCTCCCCTGGGTCTGTGCTATAAATATTTGCTTGTCTTTGTGTGCACTTCCTCAGGCTGGATAGAGGTCTTCCCTAGTCACATAGAGAGGGCATGTGAGGTGGCCTGGTCTCTCCTGAAGGAAATCACTCCTTGATTTGGAATCCCCATCACCACGGGATCAGAAAATGGGCCATCATTCATGGCTGACGTGGAACGATTGTTGGCAAGGAGGTTGAAGATCACCTGGAAGTTACATTCTGCCTACCATTCCAGGATCTCTGGGAAGGTGGAGTGATGATCCCAACTCTAAAGTTACAATAATGCAAACGGTGTCATGAAAACCTACCTACACTGGCACCAGGTGTTGATAATTGCTTTGTTAAGAATGAGGTCTAAACCTACTAGACAGACAGTTTTTCCCCCTTATGAGATTCTTTAAGGACACGCTCCTCCCGTCATGAGAGGCACACGAGGAGATCTAAAGGAATTGGGCAACATTACTCTGAGACAGCAGTGTCCTCAGCCCTGACCATTGTACACCATTGGGCTAGGGAACTGCAACGTGTGAGCCTGAGCACTGATGCCAATCTCTTCAAACCAGGAGATGCTATTTGGGTAAAGGAATGGAATGTCCAGCCACTAAAGCCCCTTTGGAGGGGTCTGTTCACTGTCATTTCATCACCCCTACTGCAGTGAAGGTGGCTGAGGTGGTCTCCTGGATTCATCACAGCAGGGTGTAACCAGCTTCTTAGGGTTGGGAGTGCATTCCCGATCCAGCTCTACCATGCAAGTTAACCATCCAGCTGCATCCTGGGGACCGCTGAGGACACAGCCCTGCTTCGGTCACTCTGGAAGCTGAATATTCTATGCAAGGCAGAAGATAGAGGAAACAACGGCCTGCCAGGATAAATAAACTATTATTATTTCCCATATTGGCCTTTGCTAGTGGGACTTAGTGGGCAAGATGCAGACATTACACTCGTCTCTCATATTGATGGTGTCACGCTAGTGGGACTTAGTGGGCAATATACTCTGGACTTACTGGCATGACATCTGCATGTCACAGGCTGTGTTTTATTTTGGATCTGGCTTGCCCCTCGAAGGCTCATGTATGGAAGGCTTTTTCCCCAACACAGCAATGTTCAGAGGCGGGGCATTTAGGAAACAGCGGGACCCTGAGCATTCTAAACGCATCCTAGGATTAATCCAGTGAGGGATTCATGGCTGGGTATCGTCATTGGGAGCTGTGGCCTGGTTGATGGAGAAAAGTCACTGGCAGAGTGTCCTGGAAGGGAATTTCTCGTCTCGGGCCTCTTCCTCCCTTCCCTCCCCACAATCTCTCTTTTCTGGTTACCATGATCTGCACACCTTTCCTCCA